ACTATTCTCTCTCTCTCTCTCTCTCTCTCTCTCTCTCTCTCCTTTTTTTATCATATCACTGTAATACATGCGTGACAAGCGTTACATTTAAATTCGAGAAAATTGAAATTCCTCGCACGATCTGCGCCAAAGTCGCGTTATGTAACCACGGGGCGTAGCGTTGCGCTAGAGCCGCTCCTGAAGTGAGGGGCCTCCCCCACTGTGTTTTCCAAATCAGCTGTTAGTACTCGACAGAGGCAGCGCGGCGGTGGCGGGGGAGGGGGAGGGGGGAGGCGAAGTGCTCGTGTAGAGTCCGTCGGTCAGGTTCTTCAGTCCACAACGACCGTGCGTTCGGAGTGTGTCGTGTGGATTTTCGTTCGCGTTTCGTTCGTATTGTATATACGTACGCGTAGCGGACATAGCATAATAATCTCGTGGCTGTGTGTTTCGCGCACTCGTTACGAGAGAACACCGATGCCGTGCGTCTTTCTCGCGAGGACACGAGCTTGCCGATATCACGGGAACGCGGACCGGGGGGTTTTTCGCCCGACAAGTGAAAGTGAAGCTTTTGAGTGAAACGAGAAGTGTGCCGAAATTTCCAAGCTGCTTAAAACTCTCGTCCCTGTGCGATCTTCGGATCTTCGATCGTGGATCGTCATTCGACGCCGAGTCGAATCCGCCGTGTCGTCGAGCGAAAATCTCGTTGAGGCTCGGGAACGGTGTTTTCCCGAGCGATCGAGAGAACTTCCGTCTTCCAAAAAACGAAAAACTCTTAAATCTCGAGGTAAAATATCGAAGACTGCATTCGTTCGTGCGCGCGTGGTCGATCGACGCATCGACACCGAGCATAAAGGCCGAAGGATAAAGGCCCTCGGCACTCGACGTGTCGAAGAAGAAACGTAGCGTCGCTCGGCGCCCTCGGCGCGAGCGGTATCCCCCTCGAGGAAAATCGGAGCGAGATATTCGCGAATCTGGCCAAGGCCCCCGCCGGCATTCGTCAAACGACCGTGCGAACAGCCGAGCGCGAGCGCGAGCGCGTTCGTACGTAACTCTTCCTATGTGTGTCAGTAGGATAACGATGATGATACGCTTCGTTCGGGCGAACCGACGTTTCTGCCGGACCACCACGGGCTACGGCACTCTTCTTCGTACGGACAATTAGGTTCACCCTACGTTGCGGTGCGTCTGTGAACGCCTCCCGAGTGACGAGAATTTTCGTTTTCGACCGAAAGAAACAAAAATCGCCGTGGCTTACGAATATCCCGCGGAGAGTGCTCACGCCATAGACCGAGGATCATAGACCGTAGCTAGAACGGCTTTTACCGGTGTTTTATCAATTTAACATCGTGACGAGCAGTCGCGAGCAGTCTGATACGTCGTGATATTAGTTCGAGCGAGTTCACGGCCTAATAAATCCGCAAGGACAACCGCAAGCAACGAAACAGGATCGTCGATTAACAGGATAATAACTCTATATTTAGACCTTTCGAGGGATCGTCATTACAATTATTATTATTATTATTATTATTATTATTATTATTATTATTCATTGAACAGATCGATTTTGTCCCCGCGACGGACGGTAGCCGCAAAGCGAGCGTGAAAAACTCGACTTATGTCGATCGCAACGTCGCCCGGTCGCCCTCTCTCTCGCTTCTCCTTTTTTTGTCTTCATTCACGCTGACATTGCTCGCGCCGCGACGACAGTGACGTACGCGGCACGTATCGCATCCCAGGCCGTACCGTTTCGCAATGGACGAAGCGGTAGGTTTTACGACGGCGGAGGACGAGACGGGCGTAACGAACGCGTCGAAGAAAAAGGAGAGCGGCTACTTCGAGGAGAACTGCGGTGACCTGAGCGACATCGTCTTCAGCAGTTACAACCAGTACGGGGCCCTCCTCAGCGTCGACACCGCCGGCATCCTGATCGTCAACGAGGAGGCCAGGCGCTCGGATCACTGGGAGAACGGCAGGCAGGGATCCTCGTTTTCCTCCGGCCTCGTCGAGGACATAAACGACCTTGACGTCAACGACTCCGACGAGGCTAAAGACGACGCCGCCAACGAGGACGTTGCGGAAGGAGCCAAACACGGGATCGTTGTCAAGGACCCGGAGACCGCGCAAAGGCTCATAGTTTACGGTCAGGGAACTCCCGAGGAACTCGCCTATACCCGCGAGGCGGTCGTCCACACTCGCGAAGCTTCCGAGAGGCTCGTCCAGGCGCGTGACAAGTCCGAGACGCCTGCCTGCATTCACGACGACTCCTCCAAGACGATTCTCTACGTTCACGAAGACTCCGATGCGGTTGTCTACACCCATGAGGAGATAATCGTCTGCACCGAGGAGGATTCGACGAACGTTGAACGCGCCATGAGTCCCTCCATCATCATCGAAGAGTGGGATAACAAGAAAATATCGGATGCAGGTAAAGCTACTTCTCTGCTAATGAGTCGATGATAATACGACGTTATGTACATACTCGTTCGTCTTAAACGAACTCTTTCGTTCTCACTCTCGTCGCGCTCGTTCACTCGTCCGGCAAGCAATTATTAATTTCTCGATGCCTCGCAGGCTTACGATTATCCCTCGATAGTTTTTCGTCGATGATCGAGGATTACTCCATCTAAAAATAATTGTGAGCTAAATAAATAAAAAAGGGAAAGCAACGTGCGGTGTTTTTTAAGAGGTGCGGAATTTATTGGCGACCAGCGAATGTTTACCACGTGCATGATATTTAGCAATGGCTTCAACAGGTCGCCGGTATACATATGTGAGTACGGCTGACATATTAAAACCGCAGGCTTCTTAAAACCTATTAGGTATCGATTCGAATGTTTAACATTTCTTCCTACTGGGTTGCGGTGCAACATTCGCGGCGCCCGTAATCTCAGAAATTAATAGAATATCTAAGAATATTTATTGCGCGTTAATTTATTATAGGCACAATTTAAGGCTTTCCTGGAAAACAGATGTAAGAAGCTTTTTCTTCAATTTTTTTCGGTATGAGGAAAAGGATATGAGGAAAAACTTTCTTTTCTACTTTTTTATCTTGGTCACAATATCTTAAAAGAAAAGTATTAGAAAAAAATAGATTCGATGTCTGTTGTTGAAATATAAATTGTCGAGTCATAAATTTTTGTAAACTCATAAATTTTTTGAATGTTTTTATGTCAGAAAGTTTCATTCAAATCTTATAAAAAAGATATATATGATAATAGACATTTTTTTATATTATTTTGTAATAGATTAATGATCGGCAATGTTTCTTGATCGCATCTATGTATCATGTAAAATGTAATTAATGTATGATAAATTATTATATACAACTGAAATATTTTTTACGTGAAATCCCTCATTTTGCAAAATTTGCAATTATTGTGTATTCAACGTTACTTGAGGTATATAAAATATATATAAGATTTACAACTTGAACTTTGACAATTCAATTAAAAAAATAAAAAATGATATTAAAAAGATTCTGTTCCGTTTCTATACTTCTTAGGAATACATTTTTTTAATAAATTTTCTATATTTGGAATCCAATACGCTTTAATGCATATTACATTAAAATATTTATATCATACATCAAGTTTATCTAAATAAGTTTATCTAAAAAATTTCTGTAAACTTAATGATAAATAACACAACTTTTATGCATATAAAAAAAGAATTTTTGAACAGTTATATCTTTTCGTATGTAAAGAAATATTTTCAATGGGCCATTAGTGAGAGAGATAACGAAGAACAAACAATAAAATCCGTTAGATAGCTTTTTATACCTGAAGATTTAAGCAGTTCCAACTTAAGAATTATAAAGTTCGAAGAATTTTTGTCTATCATAAAATATTCAGAAATTCTCTTTAGAGCCCATAAAACCAATAACTTCATTGATATTGATAAATGATGTTTCCATGTTTCCCAAATATTTCAAATTTTTGTTGAAAGTCTGTTTTGACACAGATAGTCCGGCAAAGATATCGATTTTCACGACAATAAAAAAAAAACGATCAGAAAAAAAGAAAGATAGCAAAGAAAGTAACGGTGGAACAGTATTCTTTTTCGATAATGTTCTTGCTTTCAACAGCTTTTTTAGATTTTGAATAAAGAACAGGAATTCCCCAATACTCACTAAATCACTAAACCTGGGGATTTTCTGGGATCTTCACAACCTTATTCTTGACTTTTTTTCGTTAACGGAGAAAATTTCTTTCTCAATTCTGCAATCTAAAATAATACATAATTTCTTCATGGTAAATAAAAATATAGATATAAGGTATACATCCTTAAATTCGATACTTGTAAAGCGAATAGGACTTTAATAGATTTGCTTTTTGTATTGAGATTAGCGTTTTAAAGTCACCGCCTTTTGTCACCATCTTCCGACGAACCGATTCTAATTCTTTCCAGCGTGCATGATTTTTCTTCGGAGACGCGAGCGCGTCTCACATCGTTTAGCTTTCCTCGATGCGAGTGTAACGCGGACTTCGACCTTTATGCTCCATAGCTGTGCGAAATTGCCCTTGGTGCGTATTCTTTTATAGACGTCGCGTCTTCGTCAAAAAGGAGAGATCACGAGAGATTTCGGAAAAAGAGAAAGATTACGATTCATGGTGATTCATGGTGATTCAGATTGTGCCGAGTATGGCGAATTCCTTGTCAAAATACCACCACCAACAATTTCTTCCCGTCACAATCGCAGTTCGCCAGAGACCTTCGGCGATCAATTGTCATTTTTTAACGTTCACTCCGCCAATCGTTTTTTTATCTCCGCTCGCAAGTGTACACGTACGTGTTTTTTTTTCTTTTCTCCCCCATTCGTATACCAAACTTCCATATTTAGAAAAAAAGAAGAAAAAAAAACGATCTCTTTTTTTTATTCTCTAACACTCGAGGTAGTTCCGGACATTCCGGAATATACGTGTTTTTAGCGAAAGGGTGAAGAGTGTTAATATTACGGCAGGAAGGGGGGGAGATCTTAATCACTTTCTCCTGCTGTGTACAACGAGGCACGGCACGGCTGAAACGCAGGTTTTGCGCGCTTTCGAAACCGGCTGCGTTATTCTCAATCGAGGTAAAGCTCGTTTTCAAGTTTCGTTTCACCAACGCGATTTAACGTTGTCGTTAAATACGAGGGGGGAAAAAA